CTTGGCCCCGCCCCATGCTCCCCTTCCCCACCCTGCTCCTCGGCACCGCCCGCACCCTGGCCCCGCCCCATGCCCCAGCCCCGCCCTGCCCTCGGTCCCGCCCTGCCCTCAGTACCCACCCCCTGCCTACCCCGTGCTCCGGCTCCGCCCCACATCTCGGCCCCTCCCTGCGTCCCGGCTAGGTCTTGCTCTGCTTCCAGAAGAGCTCCGTTGCACGGGGAACGGTCTGCAGGACCAGGAGCTCCCGTGGCCCGAACCCTCTGGCCCGGGTGGCCGCTGCGGCCCGAACAGCTTGGCGAGGAAAGATGGCCGCCCTGACGACGGTCGTGGTGGCCGCGGCGGCCACCGCGGTAGCCGGGGCTGTGGCGGGGGCGGGCGCGGCCACCGGGAGCGGCATGGGAGCAGCGGCGGTGCCGCAACAGGTAAATCGAGGAGGGCCGGAAGCCTCTCTGGCGGCGAGCGTGGGCCCGAGGGGATGTGGGTGCCGGGGGCGGGACGGGGACCCGGCCCTCGCCGAACAGGTGTCCTAGGCGGCACGGTCCCCGAGGCGGGAGGCGCGGTGTTAGCCTCCTTTTGCTCGCGGTCTGGCCCACGCCGGGCGTTGTGCGCTTTTGGCGTGTGCGTTTATCTGCTTTTACAGAGCTACCTCCATGTGGTTTCGGAGTCGAGGGAAGATCTGGGTGGAAGCCCTGGCTCTGCCTCTTCTTAGCCCTGTGAGGGGAACATATTCTCTCCGCGACTCAGTGCCTTCTCGAAAAACTGGATCTGGTCATTGCATCTTACCGAGCAGTGGTCCTTATGTGTGGGAAGGCCCTCGCACAGTGCTTGGTTTGAGAGAGATTCGGTGCCAAGTAATTGGTGGCTGCTTTGTTATTGTACCTGCGCCGGGAATACAAGGAGGAATAAATATGGGGTGGTCCGAGGCAGATGTGTTTCCAGAGATCTGCATATAGGACCCCTTTCTCTGCAGTGAGGACCAGAGGGTCCTCGGGAATTATTGGATCCAGTTGCTTAAGCCAAAGCCCTTAACTGCGCTCGTTCTCTCACAGCCCACACCCAAAAGCATGGGCAGTTCCTCCATGTTCTAGCTGCGGAATAAATCCAGAATCCCACTCTTAACACCTCCAGTGCCACTGCCCTTGTCCCCACCATCATTTCTCCCTGGCTGAAATACTTTCCTAATTGGTTTGTGTTCTAACAGCCTTGCCTTCCTAAAGTATTTTCAACAGCCAGGGCGATTCAGGCCAATAATGACATTCTTCTGCTCAGAACCCTCATAGTAAAAGCCAAGGTCCTTATCATTATCTACAGGGCCCATGAGTTACCCCCACCATCTCCCTTCTTCTCTTCTTCTCTGGACTTCTTCTCCAGTCCCCTGCTGTGAGTTGGCTGCAGCCATCCTGGCCTCCTGGTTGTCCCTCAGACATTCCTAGCACTCTCCTACTTTATAACCTTTGTAATTGCTATTCCCTCTGTTTGGAATGCTGTTCCCGGTCTGTTCTATGGCTAACTGTGTTCCTTCCAGGTAACTCTGTTCAGATGCCATCAGCTCAGTGATTCTTTTCATAACCTCCCGAAACCGAATCTCTTTAGTTAGCATATGCCCTATTCCCTTTCCTGGTTTTATTTTGCTCCATAGCCCTTATTACTGTATGCTACCTTACATATTTTCATTTTTCTCCACACGTCCGCCCCCACCATGGGAACGTAAGCTGTATGAGGGCAGAAACTTTTGGAAGTTTTATTCACTATTGTGTTCCCAGGTCCACTATCGTGTGTAGTCCTGGAACATAGTAGGCACTCCCTAAATATTTGAGGATCGATCCAAAACTGAGGGAAGGCTGTTGTGAGCTGAGGACAGGTACCATCATTTTCTTCCTCTAAGGAAATACAGCTATTATCTGTCTTTACTTGTATAAGCTCAGGAAATTCCAACTCAGGCAAATGTTTTCACACAGCAATTCTGTTTATTATTCTAACTCTGGCCCAGAGATCTCAGGGGTGGGGGGGGATGTAAAATTTATAAAAATACATAACACAGGAAATATTTATTGAACAATGTTTAAAAATTTGTTTCATGCGTGATCCTAGTAGTGTAGCCATCTTGCTGGCTTTTTCCATGAAATCTTTCTGGCTCATTCTAGTTCAAAGTGATTTGTTCTCTAAATTCTTATAACCATGTTTTGCCTCCTGATTTGCATTTCTCACAAGTTGCCTAATACTGTTAATTGATGAGCCTTTTTATCACGCTACCATGATGATCCCCAGAGATTTGCCTTTCCAGGGGTTGGATCAGAGTCACCTGTCGAGCTGTTTCAGGTGTTTTATCTGTTCCCGACATTTAGCGATGTCTTAAGACATTTTTGGTTGTCACACCGGGGTGGGTGCTGTGTGTACTACTAGTGGGCAGAGGCCAAAGGACAGCCCCCCCCCCGCCCAAACGAAAAATTATCTAGTCCAAAATGTCAGAGTGTTGAGGTTGAGACACCCTGCTTTATATGCTCTCATCACTTGGGGGAAGGGTAGAGCCTCACAGTTGATGATGACAGCACTGATAGAGTAGAATCCAAGGGTGTTTGGACTTTTAAAAAGGAATTACGGTCACTGCCGTACCAAATTGTGAGGTTTTGGAGGATTTTAATTATGTGTTACCCATCTTCGTACTTCCTTCAGTATACCACACACGTACGTATGCACGCAGATTCTCAGCCTAACACTGAACTTGAATATTTGTCATATGATTAAGTGAATATTTCTAGTGACTCTAATAGTAAAACCAACTAATGCTTTCTTGAAGAGACATAATTTTCCTAATGACAACCTCATCATGTAGGAGAGGTTCACTTAAATATCTAAAATTCCTCTCTGGGTCCGTTAGGGCTGCTGTGGCAAAATACCACAGACTGCGTGGTTTCAACAACAGAAATTACTTTCCTCACAATTCTGGAGGCCAGAAGTCCGAGATCAAGGTACCACCAGTATTGGTTTCTGGTGTGAGCTCTTTTCTTGGCTTGTAGACAGCTGCCTTCTCATGTGTCCTTACATGGCCTTTCCTCTGTGCACATGCAGTGACAGAGAGAGATCACCAATGTCTCTTCCTCTTTCTTTTTTTTTTTTTTTTTAATATTTTTAAATGTTTATTTTTGAGACACAGAGCATGAGCGGGGGTAGGGGCAGAGAGAGAGAGAGAGTGAGAGAGACGGAATGTGAAGCAGGCTCCAGGCTGTGAACTGTCAGCACAGAGCCCGATGCAATGCTCGAACCCACGAACCACGAGATCATGACCTGAGCTGAAGTCAAACACTCAACCAACTAAGACACCCAGGCTCCCGGTCTCTTCCTCTTCTTATAAGGACACTAGTCCTTTTGGAATAGGACCCCACCCTTATGATCTCATTTGACTTTAATTACCTCCTCAAAGGCCTTATCTCCAAATACAGTCACAAAGGGGGTTAGGGCTCCACTATATGAATTTAGGAGGGACATAAGTCAGTCCATAATGGTTCCTTTACGTTATTTTGGAGAAATTCTCTTTGAAGTTTTAGAAACGGTTTGTATCGTACTTTATTCTACAACCTCCTTAGGGTGTGGAACCCTATAAATTTCTTACCCGTAACAAAAAGTAATAATGTCACCTGTCTATCCTTTCTAATATCTGTATATTATTTCTTGATAATCCTCACCGATGCCTTTCAGCACTGAATACCACAAATCCGTCTACCCTCCTCTCAAATGCCGTTTCCCTCTTAATCAGTTTAATAGACGAATGATGAGTTTTTAAAGGTATCTGTAACGGTATCACACTAGCGTATGTCTCTGCTTTTACCAGGAAAGGGCTGTGTCTTCTGTTTTGTTTTGTTTCTTCAGTGAACTTCCCTCTGATGGCCTAAACATTATGGCCTTTGGCTGCTTGGAGTAGTCCTTTGGTAAGAAGCACATTCCTTCTGTGACTTTTTTTTTTTTTTT